TGCGGCCGCCATTTTGGATTTACATTTTGATAACCCTATCGGTTTCAACACCCTCGAAAACCATGAAAATGACACCCAAGATGAAAAAAATGATACTACTTACTTTTAGTACGTACTACTATTTTATTTATTCTGTGCTTTTAAAATATTGTTATAAAAAAATCTCTTATTCTTATTATTATAATCTAGTAGTATTTAAGAAATTTGGTTATTCGAATATTGTGTATTTGTACAGCGATCTTTTTGAGCCGCTGCAAACAACGGAAACAATGTCCACTCACGACGGCGATTGACGCCGAACTGAGTGGAACTGAGTGTGAGTAAACTACTCTGTGACTGTAGCTCCTCATTTACAGAAATAATTTACATACAAGGCTACCAAATCAACGAAAATTTCGCTATTTTGGAGCCGAAAAAAATTAATTATAGCTAAACAAAACAAAATTACACTGCCATTTACATTCAGTGGCTTCCCACACGATAGATGAAGAGATTAAAAAATATATTGAGTTAAACAATTGATATTTTCAAAAGTTATTGTGTTTACAAGCCTTGGGGACATGATAAATCCACACCATAAGCCGCTAAAACCCCTTTTTTATTTAAAAATAGCAATTAATCGATTTAAAAAACAGATTAATAATTTCAACAATCCATTATCTTTCTACCAATGTGCTTTTTATATCATTTATATGTATAATATGATTGCTAGATACGATTTTATTCGATACAACGTTGGAATCTTATTTTTTAGGCGATAGTAGAACATAGCTTGCGCTTTCGCTTAAGGTATGCAATAGTTCCCATAATATTTTGTATTATTTTTTATTTTGCCCTATCTGCAATGTTCTACGCTCTATAGAAAATGTGGCGTATGACATGACTGACAACCTCTCGAACGTTTTATCTAGATACAAAGATGTTTTACGTTTTCGTGGCCTCCACATGATATTTTTACCAGCATAAGGTACCCTTCTGCATCTGAAACGAATAATATGAATATTGCTACAAAGTAAATTAATAGGCTATACAAGTCCCTCTACTGGGCACAGGACTCTTTTTTATTTCTGAGAGGGTTTTAGGGCAAGGAAATGCCCGCTGCGCTGTACCAATGCGTGTTGACGAAAATTGCAATTACAAATTTCATTCGTGCTGTCAGGGATCAAACCCGGATCTATTAATACGACACAAATAAATACGATTTAACATATATAATAAAAAAAACTCTTACGTACTTGAAACTTGAACACTTGATAGCTCGTCACGCCTACCGGACAAAGCTACAGCACTATGTAATTGAAGATACGTAACCGCGACATAATTCTCAGTGATGCGCAAGCATAACAGGCAGTATGTCATTTATATAATTGTCATCTCTGCAGTCTATTAATCTTTGCACTTTTATAAGTAATACAGAACGTAGTTGCTAGACGGTGTTGACGTCGGCTAAAATCTTTGCGATCGCCTTTTCATCAAGGTCATTCAGGCTTGTTAAAGCCTTAAAGGTTTTAAGTTGCTCTGGAATTTTAGTTGATTTAAGCTTAAAATGTTTTTATTAAGAACAACTAGAATGAGATCTACAGCTTTTAATTATTTCTTAATATTTTTAATTATTAAAAAAAACTGAAACTAAAAAATTAAATTATCATATTACAGTCCTACTTCCCACGGTATTGTGGCAAGAAGCTTAATACTGCTGCGTTTCATATTATGTGCGTAGAGAACTAAAACCCGTTTTACTGGAAACGAAGTATTTCATATTAGCTCACAATAGTCCTCAGACAACTCATCTTCATTTTGTATTTTATTTGGATTGTAAATCGAAATGTAAATTTTTATAGGCCACATGACCCACTTCTACCAGTTGGACTGTGTGCTCATTTCTCACCATTGTTCTTTAAAAATAAACTCACATGCATTCATTTTCTGCCACTTAAACATTTTTCTAACATGTCTAATGCTTGTCTCTGTCGGATCAGCTCTCGATCTAATTCTACAAACAACCTTTCTTTCTCTCGGTTATCATTTCTTATATCTCGTCACTCAAATAAAATATTCTTCTAATGATTTAAGTTGCTTCTTCTTGGGTTGGTGGCGTTGAAATGGAGGTTGCGATGTGGAAGACAGTTGGAGATTTCGGCGGTGTGGCAGAATTGTGGTTAGGGATCTGTGATTGGTTGGAGTTATGATTACAAGACCCTTGCTGCAACCAGACGTATTCCAGTCCTATCCATTTTTTTATAGGATAAGGGTGACAAACGAGCACACAGTCCACCTGATGGTAAGTGGTTGCTGCGGCCCATAGACATCTACATCTATCCTCTGTTACAAATCAAAATGTAGATGCGTTGTCACCCGTGAGGACTAAGATGGAATGCCTCATTTCCAGTAAAAAGGGCCTCCGGCCACCTGCACTCACCAAGCGAAACGCAGAGGTGAACCTCTACTTCACGCTGGTTTTCTGTGAGGTCGTGGTACTACCCCGGTTCGAGCCGTCTCATCCGTGCGACAGCAGAAGCTGCCGCATGGCTCTACCACTGTTGAAAATTTTTTTTTTCCATTTGCAAAAATCAATTAAAAATTTAACTTTCTACATAATTATCTACATTACTTTTACAATTATTTCCTTTTTATACCGTTAAAAATAGGTATTTCAAAGTTAAAAGATGTAATGACTAGTTTTAATTATTTGTAATTGTTATTACTGATTATTATTTATTTTATTTTTCAAATAACCAGGACTCGTGCTTATATACTACTTGTTACGGCCCGCAGCTGCCCCTGCATAGGTCGCCTTGGCTGGGGCCCATAGCAGCCTCCTCGACGGGCAGACGCGGGTCGGACCCAAATGGCCATATGGAAAAATGTCCTATCATACTAAACTGTAGGGAGAAGGCTAGAAAAATATAGTACGTACCTTTAACCGAATCTCAGACCACCCCAAGGCTCGGTCAGGCCGGAGGTGGGTGTAAGGTGCATGGAAAGTAGTGTTTAGTGATGTGTATGTGTCTGAGGCCTGGCCCAGCTGAGGTGACCGGCAGCGGCCGATTTTCATGCTGCCCGACAATGCTGCATCACTCCAGCAGGCTTCCTCGCTGGACCATTTCTTTCTTCATGTCACTATTTCAGTCTATTAACTTCATTGTACATTTAACTAACTTAAACTCGCCTAATTCCTCATTCAACGTAGAATCGAACACGTGATACCCGAAACAGTAACGGACAGTAGTTCAAAGTTCAACATTCAATGTCCCGGATTCATTATCACCAAATTACGAATAGTGAACTAACGCGATCACTTCATGAGTCACACGGTTCAGCGTTATAAACACAACTAAATTCCTTTATTCGATATCAAATACTCCGCCGCGATAAGAAATCAAAATACGCCTCGTGTCCTATCTTTAGCGGACAGATGGTGTAAATTAAATGCCCAGATACTTAATAAATTAAAATTAATATAATTCAAAAAAAGAATGTGGATTCCACAATGATCGTAGTTCAAGTGATGAGTAGACAGATTTGTATGAAGAATCTTCAAGCGCCTGATGCGGGTGACGGCAATGTTCCCGCGATGGTGTTTTGGCGTAATATTTGCGCAGGCGTTAAGTCTGAACATCCTCCCGGCCGTTGAAAGATCACTTTCAACCTTGAAGTTCCTCGGCTGTCGGCAGCTTGCACAGCCTTACTAGAGATCGGCGCACATAGCCTTTATTAGTGGTGATGCCTGCCACTCTCGCTGTTCCATCGGATCCCGTGATGAGGCGTAGTACTCTCCCGAGCTACCAAGAGAGTGGAGTAGCATTGTCATCTGCCAAGAGTACCATATCTCCTATGTCCAGCTTTGATGTACTACCTTTCCATTTTGTTCTCTGCTGCATCTCACACAGTAATCACGCTGCCACCTTTGCCAGAAGTGTTGCTGCATTTTTTCTAAGCGTTCATAGCGTTGAAGTTTACTTTCCTTAGAGTCACCCAGATGTTGCGACGGTGGAGCAGTTAACGCTCTCCCGATCAGGAAGTGTCCTGGGGAAAGGAAAAGGAGGTCATTGGAAGAGGATGATAGGGGGCACAAGTGACGGCTGTTCAAAGTCGCCTCCACTTGTGTAAACAAAGTATTAAGTTCCTCAAAAGTAAGGTGGCTATTGCCAACGACGCGTTTTAAGTGGAATTTTGCCGATTTAACGCCGGCTTCCCATATACCACCAAAATGAGGAGAGTAAGCCGGAATAAACTTAAACTGGATAGAATTTTGACTTGCAAAATCAAATAGAGGGTTTTGATTTTGCTTGATAAATGATCCTAACTCCCTTGCGGCTGCTACGAAGTTAGTTCCGTTATCACAAAATATTTCCGTTGGTCTGCCTCTGCGCGCTACAAAACTCCGAAGTGTCATTATGAATGCATCCTTAGTTAAATCACTCACAGCTTCGAGATGGATGCATTTATAACGCAGACAAACGAAGAAACACATGTAGCATTTTATTAAACGACTTCCACAGTCCTTACGATTTACGATCGTGAACGGTCCCCCCCTGACAAAAACGAATGACCTGGGTTTATACGTTGGAGTGGTAGATTACCCATTTTAGGTTGTAACGTTTCACCGCGTACACGTGTACACCGAACACAGTTATTAACTGTCCGCCATGCGAGATGTCGTCCGTTTACTGGCCACACTGTTTCGCTTACAATCGATAATAACAGTAAAGGACCCGCGTGCATATTGTTGACGTGTTCTCTTTAAAAGTGCAGTCTTGTTAACCTGTGCGAGGCATGAAGTAAAATGGGGTGCCTTTTCTCATATGAATAATAATTAGCCGCATCCAACCGACCACCAACTCGAATTATTTTATTATTTAAGAACGGAGACAAACTTAAAATTTTGCTTTTATTACTTAAAGGTTTATTTTTAGTTAGCAAGTCGTATTCAGTTGTGAAGGACTGAGTTTGAGCGATAATACATAATGAATGCCATGAATCACGTAATTCCTCAATTGTTAATAAACCTGCGCGTTTCGCATTGCTATTTTAGTGTTAAATATGAATCTTTGCACGTAAGAAAATAAACGTTGTAGTTTATTGAGAGAAGAATATCTTTCAAAATCTAAAAAAGGTTCACTAATTATTACAGAGTGCACTTTCAATTCGGGTAAAGGATCAGATTCCTTGGCATTCAATACTGGCCATTTGATTTCATTTTCAAGTAAAAATGTGGGTCCCGACCACCAAAGTGACAATGACATGATGTTTTTTGCATTTACCTCTCTTGAAATGAAATCCGCAGGATTTAAATCGGTTGGAACGTATCTCCATGATAGCGGTGAAGCATGCTCCAATATTTCGCTAATACGATTAGCTACAAATGTTTTCTGTCTAGTGATATCACCTAAACAATCTACTGATTCTTTCAAAGGTAATTTGACACAAAACCTACCTTCTTCATCTCTTATGGTATTAGCGAGAAAGTGCCTTTCACACTCGCTTTCATCTTCACTTATGATTGACTTTTTCGGAACTTCTTCTAACTCCCAAAATTTAGAAACTAACTGTTCTATATTTTCATTTTGCGATGAAGAGACGATGGCGTGATTACAGTGTATCCTATTGCTAGATACTGCTGAATTTATAGGGCCAGAGATTATCCAACCTAACTGTGAACTCCTTAACTTAGGATTGTTTGGTCCTAGAGAACGTTGTTCGTTGCCTAGAATGTCACAGAAGAGACCAGCACCTATTAGTACATCTATGGCAGCTGGCTGATAAAACATGGGGTCAGCCAATTGAATATTTTTTGGTAATTTAACTGACTTGATATCAACCGGCGTGTTTGGTAAACGAGCGGTGAGCTCATTTAACACAAGACACGATAACATTGCACTGAAATTACTATTTGTTGCTTTCAATTGAATATCACAACTTTCAAGTACATTCATTGAAGAAATGTTGCCTATACCAATGACTTTAATGACAGTCTGGTCTTTAGGGACTCACATATAAATGACGATTGGCTTCCGCAATCTAAAAGAGCACGAACTTTGACCTTTTGATGATCAACTGGATTCGATACTTCAATGATAGCAGTAGATAATAATACCTGATTTGTATTGTGATTAGAATAGTTGACGATGATTTGATTTTCATCTTGTTCATCAATGAGAGCGAGGTGGCTTGAGGAGGATGATGGGCGATGGAGCAGACTATTGTGACGCTCGGTGGAGCCGCGTTCACGGCATGGACCCATGCGACACTCGCTTTCGGGGTGACCTTGTCAAACAATTAACACACAATTTATACTTCGTCACGTCCGTCATTCGATCGTCAACCCCCTTCGCCTTAAACGTTGGACAATCATATATCCTATGACGCTCATTGCAAATAATACACATAAATGTAGTATTTGGTTTATTGCTATTATTATTTCTGGTGCTCGCAAACGATTTTACTACATTGTTTTGATTTTGACCTTGCCTTTGAATATAATTATTATTAGCTATAGAACGCACAGGGACACTGGTCACCTTTGACACGCTAATAACGTCAGACCGATTATTACGATTCAATGACTCGAGCACATCAGCACGGTCTATCATAAATTTATAAAATTGTTCGAGGATAGGTACGTCGCCTTCCAAATTGTTGCTATATTCCTCCCATTTTAACAACGTGTTGATATCTAACTTAGATGATAACATAAATATTATTAGTACATCCCATTTGTCAGTGGGTTGTCCTAGGCTTGTTAAGGCGTCCCCCCCGAACGGGTTCCCGCCTTGTCGTGGCGTGGGGGTTTAGTAGCCGTGGCTTGGTCATCCACGGTGAACAAAGAGGAACCACTTGGCTGGCCCGTGGTGTAGGGCCGGCCCGAGGTGGCCACTCCGAGTGGGCTTCGCGAGTCCACTTCGGATGTGTGTCGGTGGGCTGCGGTGAGAGGGGTGTCCGCTCCCTCTACCGCTGCAGCCGAGGTGGAGTCGTGGAGGAAGAGGAGTGCTGGTATGGCAATGCGCCACTCGCCCTATCCATAGACCAGATCCGCCGCTGAGGTCAGGAAGGCTGGTGCTTCTGAGTGCTAGTTTTTCCTGGCCCCATGGCCTTCGCGCATCGGACACGGGGGCGTCTGTTACGCATGTGAAATTGGAGGCCGAGGAGGAGGGCGCGCCATGTGTTCTGGTGCGCCTTACCTGAGAGGGAGATGGGGGAGGAGTAGTCCTCTCCCGAGGAGAGGCCGCCATGGGGCGGCCAGCGCAGGTAGGGCCGTGGATGTGTGCGAAAGCTTTCCCGTGGCCCTGCCAATATGCGACGAGGGTGGAACACCATGGGGTTTTAGTCTGTGCGAGTCCGACATAACCCGTCCTTGCCCCCGCGAGGCGGGTATGCGTAGGCATTTCCCCATGTAAAAATAAAGGCTTGTTAAGGCGTGCAAATTTTTGGTCACGTGGTCAACCGAAAATTGTAGAGAACGCTCTGATTCCCGTGGAAGCTGTTAAATATTAAATAATGATGTTAAATGATGATTAATCAATATTCTTTTGTTGTCGTATCTATTGCAAATCATCTTCCACGCTTCAGCATAATTGTTGGTTGATACCTCCAAATTTGAAATAATCCAGGCCGTGTCGCCTTGCAAATAAGATACGAGGTAATGTAATTTATGGATGTCTGATATGCGATCATTCTTATGTATTAGATTTTCAAAAGTATCCCGAAACTCCAACCAACGGAAATATGCGCCATCAAATTTGGCTATTTGAATTTGAGGGAGTTTCAACCCTAATTCGTGGGGGTGATTAGGATCATCTATGCAACATGACGCGTTGTGACCCGAATTGCGCCTTTTTTCGCATTCTAATGTTTTGGAGAATTTTTCGGTTAAAGCTTTTGCCTTTACTATATTCATAATTATATCTTGGTCAATTTTATCGCGTTCCTCAATTTCAGCCAAAATATTTTCATAATTTATAACCTCTATTTCACTCTGCAAATCATCAACCTTCATAGACAAAGCTTCAAATTTAGTGAATTTTAAATCTAACTCCGTTAATTGAACGTTGTTTAGTTCCATTAAACAGGCTATTTAAATAATTTTTAAATTTTGTAATTTGTCCCTTGGCGGATGTTCTTCTAGTGATTAAATCACGTAAACTTTGTTTATTCATTTCTTCTGTCATTAAATATGACACTTACGAACAAACAACAACAAAACAATATAACTTAAACTTTCCTTTTTGGTAGTCAGTTAACTAAATATTGATTCTCTTTATTTAAATAGCAATGCAATTCCTGCGTAATTCAATTGAAATGGCTCACGTTCCTCGTTCTGGTGGTACTTGCCGCTCAGGAAACCCGGCTGCGCCCGCTCAACAGTTCGCTCCCAGCCGATGCAGGAGCCGCGGCCGGCCAATGTAATTCAACGGGATGAGTATGTACTTGCAAACGGCGCACGGCGATGATAAATATTAGCCTGGAATATTCGGCAAACACGCGAAATATTGTATGTATAAACAATACGAAACGAGAAAACCTAAAATACGAAACCAACGTTACTTCGTAAAATAATTTAACTTTATATCAATTGAGTGACCTTTTATTGCTTAATATACTTCCATTTACCTATTTTACGGAATAGTGAACATACAATTGAACGATTTATGTATAAATTTAGATAATATTGCGATAAATAGCTAACAGTTAATTCCTTTGTTCACTTTTTTATACATACGGGTAGGTAAAAAAAAAGATGATGCAATTTTTGCACTAAATAACAAATTTACGTGCATAAAACGCTGTAAAACTTGTCTAAAAACACTTAATTTACACAAATGACGAAGGATTTTGAATATTATTTTGTTAGTTATTAGGTTTTTTAGGAATTAGTTAAGGAAGGACACTTAGCGGACGAGCTCGTAACTGCTCGATGTGAAACTTTAGCTGATTCACTGCTCGATTCTTCTTTGTTTTTCTGTTTTCCAATACAGCCTGTGATTTTAGAAATATCCACTGCAAGTCTCTATCCACAGGAATGATTTGATGTGATGTTAAAGATCGTTAGGTCGCTGCGCTAACCGATGTCTCGTCGTATTTACGTATTAATTGTTATTATTTCGTGGATTCTTCTTTGTTCCCCTCATGGGCCACCATGTCCTATCTTTAGCGGACAAATGGTGTAAATTAAATGCCCAGATACTTAATAAATTAATATAATTAAAAAAAAAAGGATGTGAATTGCAGAATGATCGTAGGTCAAGTGACATGATTAGACAGATTTTTATGAAGAATCTTCAAGCGCCTGATACGGGTGACGGCAATGTTCCCGCGATGGTGTTTTGGTGTAATATTTGCCCAGGCGTTAAGTCTGAACATCTCGTTGACACGCAAAACTAACAAAACAGTCAACACACAAAAAAGGGCACTTAACGCGACGGCACAATTACTTTTAAAGAAGTTACTTTAATCAGTCAAACAATACAAGCCTCTTGTCAAGAACTTAGACCCTAGACAACCTAAAACGAGGCGGTTTTCACGAAACACAATTACGTAGCGAAGTCACGCGCCAAAATTCTAGACCTTAATCCAAAAAAAACCGGTCTCGCGAAACCTCAGCGGCGGGCATCGAAAGGCACCAATTAACTGCTCAGCCGCCGTCGAGCTACTGCAAATTAGTTACGTTGCGACGGCGCCGCGGCCCTAAAGATCTTGTTCTGCTCGCGCGTCGAGCGTCTGACCAGCGGCACGCCCCCCCCCCCGCGTTACTTCACCTCGACACCATGGGGTGATTCGCCAAGCCGAAGGCGATTGGATGCCATCCAAAATGACCATTTTTGGGCCTAAACAAACCCCCGTCCCGGACATAAGGACTTATGTCCGCGAGCAAACAGGCAAGCGGGACAGGGTCGCGACGGCACGTTGCAAGACCGAATCTATAACCAAACTAGGCCACCTTAGGCCCCCATCAGATCTTGCAAACCTAGCCACCGTCTCAAAATACCGCCCCAGTGTGGGCAAGCCGGAGGGTTGAACCTCCACTGGATGCCCTTCCTGGGCATCGCAGCAACTAAACAAGTCCTGTTACTGGACAGAAGTCCGACGACCTCTTTCAAACACCTATCTGTGCCCCTATGATTCGTTCCGCAATCCGACCGGATCAGGTCTGCAAACAGCGACGCGACACGAAGCGGCCCAGCGTGGCCTCCTAAGCTTCACTGCAGAGAGCACCCACAAATTCCACATGAACGTCATCTGTGGAGAGCCAAACGAAACGCACAGATAGTCCCTAGTATGATTTTTCAAACAAGTAGGCATAACCAAGCCATCTACCATATAATCATTTACTCAATAGTGCGGCAGCTGATTTCAATTTGATAATCTCCAAACTAGCTAGCCTCTTAGACAAGTAGTCCTATGCTCATATTTCAGCCAATTTTCAAAAGCATCAATGTTCAACTACTGAATTAATTCAAACAAATTAATTTAACGATGCGCATAAATCAAACAGACAAATTAAACAAAACGATAAACGTAAGAGACAGCCCTATTTCTCTTTCCAAATAAATATCTTAGACAGTGCCAACAAAATGTGAAAACCAAAAGAGGAATGACTCTTATTCCTTTCGGCACAAATAGGGTTATCCAATTTCAATTTTCTTTTCAACAAAACACAATGATCAAACACAATCACAGAAGCATATGCACAAGCATTCAAAGGGCACATCATTCAATTTCAATTTTCCCTTCAACAAACAAACACAATGATCAAATACAATTACAGAAACATATGTACAAGTATTCAAAAAGCACACTAAATTCGCCTTCTTAATCACAACCGCCACAAATATGAAAACATTTCGCGGAAAATCCAAAGCATTTTTATTTTTAATTT